CTGGCGTGCAGCATCTGGCCACACTCCCCTCCATGTCGTGTTGTGCGTGCCCGAGACGCTGGATCGGCTTCTCCACACTGATGGAGAAGTGGCCTGGGCCTTTGGGTGAAGACCGGGTGATAAAAGGAGGGGAGTCCCAGATACGCATGGTTCGAGATGCGGAAACATCGCGGCAAACATGGGAATCTGCTGAACTGGGCCGACCGTTCTGGATCGTGAAATTTGTCACATTGCGACCTGCGACGGGCTACCAGTGGCCCAGATGGCGATCGAGGCCGGCCGGGCATTGCGACGGGCGACGTGGATGAGGCGGCGTGAGCTGCACGAAGGGTCCCCCTACGCCCCCGATCCACGCTAACGCGGCGGCTCGCAGAGATCGAGGGGCGGGAACCTTAATGGAACTCTGAGAGGCGCCGGGCTGATTGGCTGATACACGCTTAGCGCTGTTTCCCACACCACAAGGTGGCCCAACACCGGGCTCCGGTATTGAGAATCCATCGGGAAGCGCAACCTGGAAGCCCCAAGGCGGGTCGTCCATTCCCGTTCTTGTCTTCGGCAGCGCCCCGGCCGCCTTGACACGCCGGGCATCTGCATCGCCGGCCGTATCCACCCCGATGCTCCGAGTCGATGCAATCCGAGCCTGAGGCATTGCGACAATGGGTCGTCGCGTAGGGCGGTCGAAAGGAAACGCATTTCGTCATCTTGGACGTCTAGGCCGAGGCTTGGCCGAGTGCCGTAGGACGACCCGGCATGCGTCTAGGGGCCTGCACGTCTGCCTTGATTTTCGTCATAATCGTACCTCGTAGAAATTAGTGGAATATTCTTGCTGCCCTTGAGGACCCTGAAAAAAAACTGCGGGAGGTGACCGGGGTCCGTACCTGAGTGACATATGTGGAGTAGGCGCCGTAAGAGGAAGAGATCTTCGGGGATCAACTCTGGTGAGTTTGGTCAGACCAGCTGATGGCGTGGTGCCATGGCAATCAATGGGCCGCCATGACAGAGACCTTCACCCTCTCTCCTTTTCCGACTAAGGTGGGGTAAGGCGCTGAGCAGTGTGTAGTCAGACCGTCAGACGGTGACGTCGCAAGATACAAGGGGCTGGGCTGGTCTATCGAGCTCCGAGAGGGGGGCCTGTGCAGCCAATCATCGGGATTGCAGACCAGAGGGCAAAGACGGACCCCCCTCCGGCGACGCTGAATGGTCCAGCCAGGCGTTGCTCTGTCTGGCGGGAAAAGTACAGACCCAAGGGTCTTGGTGGCGTGTCCGGGAGGTCGCGATGAAGACCGGCAGGGCAGATTGATGGTTGATTGACGCGGCAATGACCCGTTTTGGAGACTGCATCAGAGTCGCGGTGTAGGGTACGGCAAGCAAGCAAGCAAGCGCTGTGAGCTGACTGCGGGAATTGAATACCTTGGTTGGCGTGCGTCGATTCCGATGTCGACGGCCAGCCACAGTCTGGTCCGGGCGATAATTTGATGTTTGTTTGGTTATGTGTACTGCGGTATGTAAAATGAATGGGATGTACACTGGAAATCAGACACGGAGAGGGACGGGGAGGGCGACGGGCTCGCTGTCCTGACTCCTCACGGGATAGAGAGGACATCGGCGATGAGAGCAGGCATAAAATGAGACCGGGCGGGCTATGCGTCCTCAGCCGACAGTTATTTCAATAACAGCTAGGAAGGCCAGCTAATGCTGTAAATCGGAGCGGCGGCCGGGTGTCCGAAGCCTCGATGACACGGCAAAAGCGAGATCGTGGGCTCAGGCGGATTGCGGGCTGGCTCCGAGGTGACGAGCCGCCTAGTGGCCCGTGCCACTTCAAGAAAGCCGGAGATTGGTTGTGGCCAGAGGCCCCGGGACTCGGGGATTCTCTATTGACGAATGCACGGCCGTCTTACCTGGCACTCACTCGCCAGCCCATCTCAGCCATGCGTCCAAGACGCCGGCGACCGTGTCTGCCGCAGCGCAACAGAGAAGTAGGCAGGGCCTGGACGTGCATTTAGGGCAGAAGAAGAAAGTTACGAGGCCGCCGTGGATTGCGGAGATTCAGTCGGAAAATTGCCCACATCGACGGACGATCGAGAGGAGCTCGGTGCTGAACCAGTCGACTGAGGTGCAACGGTACAGCCTGTTTGGGCTGATAATGCACTACCCCGACTTGCCGTCGACGAGACCCTTCGCGCCGGTTTGGCTGCACAGTTGCAGTGGGATTAGTGTGAGGTAAGCGAGCACTAGCCCTAGTTGAGAATGAACGGTTTCGATGGCCTGCTCGATGCTCTCTCCAAAAACAAAAGCCCGATGCTTTCTCAGTGCCAGACAAGCTTGCGTCGCCGGCGACAGTCAGGTCACGACACGACACGACACGAGACGACACGAGACGACACGAGACGACACGACACGGCAGGCTGGACGTTGGAAAGAGCTGAGGGTGTGTGCGTGCTAAGGTTGTCGGAAAAGGTGGTCTGGCGTGCATGCAGAGGAAACATGCACAGCCTTAACCGCCGCGAACAAGTGAACTTCTTTTCGAATGGATGCGATGATCAAGCAGCGATCGGCTCTCGAATTCTTTAGCGGCAGCGAAGAAGGTTTGATGGCGCGAGCCTGAAGCCACTCAGACTCCAGGGGTCTGTTCGTAGGCACATGGCCCTCGCGACGGGTTGCTTGCTTCAGCTGGACGATAGATCCCTACAGATACCGTGAACTTCGTGACTTTCTTGGACAAGGTGACGAGCTGCCGGCTTGAGGGTCCATGGAAGCAAACCTTGGCCAACTTCACATTTCGCGGCTTCCAGGGACCAAGGCAAGGGACGGCAATAGCCGCGGTGGTGGCTTCCCAGTTGTGTTGTTGCCTGCGACGAAAAGTTGGCAATTGCCACCGCAATCAGTAAGGTTCCTTCCTCGGTGTAAGTCAGTCACAGTCCTACTCATTGGCATGCCAGGCGGAGGTCAAGCTATTCTATCAAGTCAGCAAGCAACGGCCGGGACCAGTTCAGTGTCTGCTCTCAGTGGGGCAGACGCGGCTGGAGCCTGGCAGCAAGCAGCAGGCACACTCAGTGGCACAGAGCGTCAGGTTCATTCCTTAAGGGAGGTGCTCACACTCCTCAACAAGTATTCCTTCGGTTGCTGGCTGCTGCTTGCCGCTGCAAAGTGCTACTAGTGTACGCCGTACGTGCCTCGGGTACGTACTCCGCGGTCTGCCCAGAGCCAGAACACTAGGTGTGAAATTGAAAAGGCCACGCCCCCTTTTCGTTGCGCCACGCCCACCACAGTCGCCCCACCTTCCTCTTCGATTGACTCCGATCCCAAGACCCCTGCCTTATCCTGAAGATCAGACCAAAGAGCATTCGAGCTGGTGTGGGGCCGCACCTGCCACCTGCGCGTGGGGAACTGGCTAGACCTCTCGAAACGTTTCGCAACTTTGAACTCGGCCTGCTTGTGTGCTTGCTACCCTTACTTTTTTTCCCCTTCCCGCCTGACTGCTTGGTGATCCATCCATCCACCCATCCACGTCGCCCATCTCGGGAAAGAGGAGCAGACAGGTAAGGCTTGAGGTGAGGCCCGTCATTGGGGCCCTTTCTAGCCAGCCTTTGCTTCCGTTCCCACCCCTCCCCCCCTACACTAAATCTAGGGCATCGGTGGGTTGATGGATGGGTGGATGGATGGATGGCTTGCCAGCAACCTCGTGAAAGCCCCCCGGGTCAAGGGTGTGCCGTTCGTGCCTTCGTCGCCCTTCCCAAGCACCGCTCCTCTCACTTGCTTTTGACCCGACGTAGATTGGCCCTGTATTGTCCGATTTTGTTGTTCGTCGAGGAGGGGCATGGGGTCCAAGTTCCGTCTTATCCCCATTTCCAGACCTGCACGACTTTCTACCTCTTCTCACCACGCCCGCTACTCACCCGACAACATTTACGTCTTTCAGCATCCACGAAGCACCTTCGCACCGGCCTCCTCTGTTGCTGCCATATCACGCCTGGAACCGAACGACGACTCATCGGACCGCTCTTGCCAGTAAACGAAGTAGTCCGGCATAATTACCTATGCACGCACGCGACTGCGAATTGCAAGTCAGAAATTCGAACCGCCTTGCTCAGACATCACGAGAGAAGCGATTCCAAAGCGGCATACTACATCTGAGCCATTTTATCGGATTATCAATTGAGGTGGCCTTCATCTCTACGGGAAACAGCTTTTGCTTTGGTCTTCCACACAGCTCGATGGACCAGGAAGCGACCCATCGCCACTTTTAAGTAATCCTTGGCTTCTCACTCGGACACGGAGACGAATTCTTTCACAACAGTCCCCACCGAGATATCCACCTGGCGCCTCACACCTTCCTGACAGCTTCTTCGAACCGCGACCCCGAAGTATTTATTCTAGCCCTGGACACCGTGCAAAGGAGTGGGCAAAAAGGCTGCCGCCCCTGCGGCCTTCCTAACGCCGACGAGCAGTCAAACCTGCTGTGCTTGCTCTCCGCGACGTTTTCCGCAACTTCCTCGCTAGATCAAGCGATCCAGCAAACAGCCCATCTGTTGGTTCGCGAAGCTCATTCGGGGGCTTTTGAATGGTCTAGGCTGCTGTCTTAGGCGCAGGTTGTTGTCAATATTGTAGGTGTTACCCTTTCTCACTGTGTCGACTTCTGACGACGGTTGTGTCGTCATACCCTCGCTCTGAACTTTCGATCGATCGATCGACGTTCCAGCCAATCACGGTCCACCACCAGCCTTGACATATACAGCCTCTCGCCTTCACAATACCAAACCATCACATACAACCCCGATTTTTAATACTGACAAGCTATCAATTCGACAGAAGCAACTGCTGTAATAACCATCATCTGCATCATTTTTCCACTTCTCAAAGTGGAACCCACCGACAAAACGGCCACCACCACGAAGACCAACTCACCACCAACCCCATGCCGCAATTACAGCACTACTCAGACCAATTACACCAACCGAATACCACAACAAGCCATAGACCGACGCCTCTATGCCACCATCATGTCTGACGTGAAGAACGCATCAGGAAATCAACCGCCGACGTCGCCGAAAGGCCACCCGCTCCCCCGTCGCTCTTCACCCGAGAACTCCGTAACCCTCCGTAATCATCTCCTGGCGAGCCAGGCGAGCGACAGAGCAGCATCATCACGCATCGCAGCTGCTGCGAGTTCCGGGTCCTCCTCTTCACCTAGGCGGCAATCCTCTGGAGAATCTCACAACACCGGACCTAGCGATCCGAAGAAATGGTTTGATCGGAATAACGAGAATCCAACGGCAGGTTACTCCAACGCCATGGATGGTAAGCAACATTGGTGCGAAGATAGTTTCAGAACAGCAACTGATGTGCTTTGGTTCAGTTGATCCTCCGTTCTTCCAGAAGGAGAGTGACTCATCCAACGAAGATATGGTTAAGGGAGACAGTTACCCTCCACACTTACTGAAGCCTCCCGTTGACGCCAGACTCAAGCCTACTGCTACGCACAGCAGTAGCGCCGACGATTACCGAAGCGTCATTGACGACCTGACTATTGAAATTAAGAAGTTGAAAGATGAATTGAAGAAGCACAAGCACAAGGGACCGGAGCTGATGAAGCGCGACAAGCTGTTCGAAATCAAGGTACATGGATTACCGAAGCGCAAGAAAAGGGAACTGGAGGCCACTCTTCGTGAGTTTGCCGCTGGACTGGAGAGCAGCACACCGAGTGCCGAGGCGTCTTCAGCGCGGAAGAAATCCAGACACAATGCCCGACTTGAATCTGGATCGGGGTCAATGTCGAAACATGCGTCATCGTCCTCTGGTTCCCATTCAAGGCCAGTTGACTCTGCCTACGCGTCAATGTCGACAGGCGCCAATTCATCTGGGACATCTCTCGCGCGACCGTCAATCAGTTCGAGGGCGAGGTCGTCTGAGCAGAAGGTACAAAATTATCTGAAGGACATTCCGGAGGGCCTGTACCCACGCCACATGGTCATGACGGACAAGGACAAGAAGAAGCTCATTGTGCGGCGGTTGGAGCAAATCTTTACAGGAAGGATCACCGGTCGGAATCTCACTCGCCATCAACCGAAGTCGGCGGCGGACATGGCACCAATGGCGCCCATAATGGTGGAGCCCGCAACCGGACACACAACCACCAAACACGGCCCCCTCAATGCGTCTATGGCACAAAACGAACCTTCCCGACAGGCTCGTATAGTCGCTTCTGACGCGAAAAAGGGCCAATCCAAGGACAACACATCGGCCACAAACTCAAACGACCAACCGGACTCCGGGGCCAATTCGGCCGTGACACAACAAAGCACGTCGCCGCCTGACGATTCGCCCCCGGAGCAACGACCCACTCGGCCGCTGGACTTGGATCCCGACCGTCTACAGAACCCGACGGAAAACATGGATTACATCCGCCACTTGGGCCTTGCACCCCCTCATTTGACAGGTCTGACGTCCTACGAGGATGTTTCTCCTGATGCCGATGGCTGGGTTTACCTGAATTTGTTGTGTAACATGGCGCAGCTTCACATGTTGAATGTGGCGCCGGACTACGTTCGCAGTGCGGTAACCGAGAAGAGTACCAAAATTCAGTTATCGCCAGACGGCCGCAAGATCCGCTGGCGAGGTGGCACAGAGGGAACCAAGTTTAGCAGCGACAGCTCCGGCGACACATCCCAGATGAGTCGATCGGAAGACTCCGAGGGTCACGAGCAGGACGGACAGAGGAAGAAGCGCAAGGCCACGCAACAATCGAAGAGTGGCCATTACTCTACTTCATCAGCAAAGCACGCCTCGGATCAGTTCAAGATAGAGCGCCAAATGTCCTCAGCCGACAGCTTCCACTACAAGCCTCTATTTATGCACCAGGCATCGTCTGCTGAGCAGACGTCTCTCGACGACACTGGTTCTTCCTTCGGAGCTGGCGAAGAAAGCAACAACGGCGAATCGCGATGGGGAAACAGCGGGTCAGGCTCAACACGTAGGAAGAGAAGGCGCTTGGATGGTGCCATTATCTACTACAACGGCGCGCCCTTCTGCACTGACTTGTCTGGTGACCCGGGAGATTCGTCTCCGGCATCGTACATGACGTCAGCAGGCCAAGATCAACAATTATCTTCCAGCACCGGATTTCTCAGGCCTGACCTGCCTCACCGCACCGCATCAGGCTCAGCACTTCCATATCGACCTCTCAGCGATGGCAAATACGTACCCAGTGTCGCTGTTGGGTCCGAGGAGACAGATTCTGACGACATGGATTTGGAAATTGAAGCGGAACTTCCTTGGTCAGACGCCACCCAGCCCAACCCCGAAAGTTCTTTGGATGCCTGTGGCCTCGGCGGGGTGATTCCGGAAGATCACTTCATGGTAACCGTAACCACCAAACGGTCCAAGCAAGACTCACCCGCAGCTTCATGCAAGCCCGGACTGCAGGATGTTTCCGAGCTGGTCCAGAGGATTCAATTGCCCGCCAATTCATTGACCAGTGAGAGATCATCGCACTCCCCGCTCACGGAGCCATCGCGCTGTGTTAGTATTCAGTACACTGGCAGATCTGTCAATAAACTGAACCCTGCGCCGCTACCTCCACCAGGGATGTACTTCGCGTTTGATAGCGATTCAGACGAGTCTGATGACTCGGAGTTGGATGATACCGACTTGGATGCGCGGTCTAGACCACCTATGGGTAACCGCATGCTTCCCCATGTCTTTGAGGACACATATCCTGACGACGAGGAGATGTCAAGCGGGGACGAGGAAGGTGAGGAGCCCGATGACGCGGATGAGCCTAGCGAGGAGGCCGGGGATGACAGCAGTGAGGAGATCAAAATACCTATACCCCCACGAAATGCTCGACGCACCAGCAGTAGCAGTGCTGTCGCTGCTGCTGGTACCATTCGAGGTCGAAGCAAGAGTTTGAGTGCCGAGCTACCTGTGACGACGGGAAGTTCTGTGGCTACTGCTGGCGGAGCTGAGAGTGGCTACAGTAGCGGTCGCGAGGAGAGTGGATGAGAGGGCAGATTGGTGCGGGAAGCTGACGGACAATCGGAGGATTGAGTATGGTCCAACCAAATGCATTCTGTTGCGGAGCATTGCGAGGCGTTAGTCGGTCGAAAGCGTTCAAAGTGTTCTCAAAGTTGGACAACAGCAAGTTCTTGTTCCCACGTCATGATAACTTCATGGGAGTAGCAATCATGATCAAGAAAAGTGATTGGAGTGGAGGCTGGCCATAGACATGAGTTTTTGGATAGCGAAGCTTATTAAATCAAATGATACCCCTTTCAACAAACTGAATCTATGCTCACGTGTCCAAGTCCACATGCTAACACTCTGTTGATGTTGTATAGATGCCGTGTTTGAATACCGCAAGCCTCTTTAGCCCTCCGATGGCCACGGGCTGTCAAGGAGCAGCGGCAATATGAGAGGTGTACTGTAGGACCAACCAAGTGAAAGTCAGTAAGGTGCTCCCAACTACTTTGGGCTCGCCACGACCTCGACGACTCCGAACGGCAGAGGCCCATGTCTCCCATGACGGTGGTGTCGGCGTCTTGGATTGGTGGGCTGAGCTGGCGGACGGGCGGTGGTGTGAAAAGGAGTGTTTTCGCCTGTGGTGATCCCCTTCCACCGTTGCCGTCTTGGGGTAGTATATTTTGAACAGTCTACGGGCAGTGGTTCATGCGGCTGGCGGTTCTTGAGGATGGATGTCGTTGGTTCCGAGGTTTTTTGAGTTTGGGGGTTGGTTGGCAGCGGTTGAGGCAATCCAATTTCCAAGGGGCACGACGGCCGTGAGCGGGTCCAATTCTTGCTATCGATGGAGAATGATTGGGGTTGACTTGGCTGTCAATAGCGTTTGCTCTGCAGTGTTGGGCTTGCTGGCGCTGGGGTGTAGTATTTTACACACGACGGATATTCGACGGGAAGTGCTCGTGCTATGAAAGGAGGGGGAATCTTCGTGGGAAGATGGGACTTTATGCATGGTTCCGTCCTCATTGTTGATTGGATAGACTGCATACTAGTCTGGGACGTGGACGATGATCTCTTGCTTCCATGTCAGCCGGTGACAATGGTGTTCACGCTGAGACGAATGGCTAGAGTGGATGATCTACCACCAACGACATCTACCTTAGATTTCTCAAACGCATGTTCGGTTGTCGAGTTGATCGTAGGCTCTCGCAGCAGAAGAAACGAAAGACGCCTCACGTACGATGATGGCACGTAGTCTGCGAGCCTTGGTCTTTTCTGTACTTACTCGGCATCATCGCGACCGACGGAAAGCCCGAAGAACACGCATCGTGGTACTTGATCACTGGAGATGCCAATATGAGATGCGGTTTATTAGATCAATCTTTTCAGAGGCGAAAAGTGGCTTTGTTTATATACGAGTTTCGTAAGGACTGCTCAAAATTCTAACTTTCTCTCGAAATTGTTATTAGCAGTTGTTATGAGGCGTAAGGCCTCCTACTTAAATACGATTTTAACAACAAACGGTTCCAAGAAGACAACAGCCAATCGAGTGTTCCTTTGCCGTGGTGTGTGTTACAACTTGGAGGCACGTGTTGGACTTTAATATCGACAGATATTCATCAATAGGCTACAGCGAGTCTTCTTCCTCCATTTCAGTCGAAATAGGACGTCCGTCCTGTGCTGGAATCCCTCGGGTATTTGCGTTCATAAGAAAAGAATGGTGATAAAGGTTCATGTCTAGCTGAGCTTAAGCTTTGACTCCATGTGGCCCAAAAGAGACGAGACACATGCAAAAGAAACTTCCGAGATGGCTGTACCCATTGCCATGGTATCCAAACCAGTATAGTCATCCGGAGTTTCAATTCCGCAAAGCAATGAAACTATTGTTACCAACTCGATCAAGTCTCAGGTGCACAGAAACCACAAGCAACGTCTGGCTGAAAACCCCCAGCCAAAGCAGCTTCGACCTTGACGGCCACCTTCGTTAAAAGGAGTGTGTCGCATATCTCGTATTATAAAAATCGATACAGGCGACGATTCTTTAGTCTGATTCCATCAGAGTCGGTATTCGATTTCATTGACCCTGCTGTTGCAGATGTGGTCGCATGGACCAACACCATGAATCTAACAATGCGTTGTAAATAAGCTGTACCTAGATCAATGAGGAGGAGGCTGCGTGACAGACCAAGAAGGATATTTCATTTGAAATATGATGGATGTGATAGATCGGGCTTTAATGTTCTCGGCAAAGGTGTAAAGCGTATATAAACCCATTGAAATTTGTCCAATCTTGAACTGTGTATTATATCACAGCACTCAAATCGCACTCATCTTCCATCAACACAGCAGAACGGCATAGAACAGCACAGACGAAATCAGACCAATTTCCTCGAATTTCAACAAGCAAAATGATTTTCGAGACTCTCGTGAAATTCTTGCCATACTTGAGCTTCATAGTCGGTGCTTTCCTATGGTCTAAAACTGGACGCAAGCCCACCGACGACGCGATCATCATCTTCATAATCGGTGCGCCCGGCGCCGGAAAAGGCACGCAGAGCGCCTTCCTGGTTAAGCGCTTTGGCTTGCAACACCTCTCGTACGGGGACTTGATGCGTGGTCTGCGTAAGAGCGGGGACCCCGGGGTATCTGGACTGAAGGCCAAGCCTAACACTGGAAACCCCAGCATCCCTGACGACATGGACGCCTGGTTGCTATGGCGGGAGATTCGCGACGGGGGACTCGAAGGTAAAGAGTTCTGGCTGGTGGATGGCTTCCCTCGACGACCGGAGCAGATTGAAGAATGGCTTCATTTACTACCGCCTGCGGTCTTGACGTTGTACCTGAAGTGCCCTGAGGATGTCTCCAAACAGCGTGTTGCATCCCGAGGCGAGGAGGCTGGGGTGGAGGCGAGACCGGAGGATTTGGATCCAGAAACTGCGATGCACCGGATTGAAGAGTTCTACAACAATGCGGACTTTGTGGTAGCCAAGCTTGAAGAGAAGGGCATGAAGGTCTTTGAAGTGGACACGAATCGTAGTCCAGAGGATGTCCAGAAAGAGCTGGAGAAGATCATGGAACCTTTGATCAAGTTGATTTTGTCGATTCAACGGTCTTAATCAGAGTCGTGGAAGGAAGTTAGCCATCTATACGTAAATTGAGAGCTTTAGACGTAGGAGTTGAATAAGTCATGGTAGTATCCCATAATACAGCCTCAGCTGTCCTGCTCTTTTTGTAAAGTTGGTAAAGTTTCGATTCAGCCTGCTACCTTCTGCAACTAGTACCATTTCTATACTGGGAAACTCTATGATTACAGAAACCACTAGGAACTCGTATTTCTTATCACAGATGAGTCTCTTTCTAGATCTTCGAAACGCCTAGTTTCAAGTTGACCCCGCTCGCAGCTCATGCAGATGCCTGATTATTTTGATCACTCTCTCCCTGTCCGAAAGATCTTCAAAAGACCACTTGGCGCCTCTGAACAGCTTCAAACATGCCCATAAAACCAAGAAGACGAAGATCTGTAGTCATAGAGTTAGCGACAGAGAACCTCACGAGGTGGGTATCTCCTTACAGCGAGATACGCCGACAAGAACGGCAAGATGTTGAAACTTTTCCACAGTGCTGCGCCATTCGAGACTATTAAAAGAAATAGACAACTGATCAAGGCCATGTAAGCTAGAAATGGCTGTCCATGACTTCGATAGGGGTAGTCGCTTCTTTCGTAGTTCCAGCGCTGGACTTGGGCAATCTTTCGGCTCTCAAGGGCATGGCGATGTCTGTCGATGCTATAAAAGGTTAGACAAGCATCTCCGTGTCAGAAAGAGTCTACATACCAATGGTAGTATCGAATGAAAGCCAGACATTGGCACGCCCAAACAATCACAACACCAGCAGAGCCCATCTGGGCCAGGATCTCAATGAACTACATCAGCGAGTTAGTTGACCGCTTTCATTAGATTTCCACATATAAAAGGCACGAACCATGCCGATAGGGGTGTTTGTGTCAGTGCCTCCTGAGATCTGGAGGAAAGGCACCCACCAGAACGCGATTGCCGAGAAGACCATCGCCCTCAATGGCACCTTGCGTCTGTTCGTCCTACCGAACCAGGCCAGTGTTCTCAACACCCATGGTTGCCCGGCACCTCCATCCAAGCGACTTGTTAAGCCAAATAAGCTTCGTGAAGCAACGTAAAGGTTCGTGTTAGCGCACGTCAGGGCTGTGAAAACCAAGAAGAAGTTGAAGACATGGTCCAGAATCTGGGCGTTGGACCGGCCCGCGATGACCACAAAGGCGGAAGATGTCGCGTTTTTGTGGTGGGCTCTGTCCTCATCAGAGTACCATTTACAGGAAGTGGTGTTCTTGACCCAGCTAAGATGCGGAAGGGCGCAGTCATCGGGCCTAATGTTCAAGGAGACGAGCATGCCACTGAGTGTATATGCCACGCCCACAAGCACTGAAATAAAGATGGCCGAGAACTTGACGGTGCGTCCGATGAGAGTTTCAGCGTTCGATGGCCGGGAATCAGCAGCTGAAGCTTCCCGGGTTGGACGATGACGAGGTTCTGGCCATTTTGCTTCGAGGGCTGAGGCCGCGACTATTTCAACACCAACATAGGCAAATGCTGCGATTGATAGAGACATGCTGGTAAGTCTAGTTAGCGGGAAGTTGAGAGGAAATTTTGATGGCAAACCAACAGCAGAGCAACGCCCCAGTCTGGTGCTGCGTCAGCATCGTATTGGAAAGGGTCCTTGAAAACTGAAGTTTTGGTTAGACATGTATGACCATAGCATATTACAGGTGAACTGACTAGGCACGGCCTCTCCGCCTGATGCAGAACCTGTTGAGGGGGTCAGAAGTTAGTGCTGTTGAGTCGATCAACATAGGAAATGAGATGTACCTTCTCCAGTAATAGCAATGAGAGCCACCACGATAACAATCAGAAAGGCAATCTTGATGCCTCCTGTGATCACTTCAACAAGCCCATATATCTGAAATGATATTAGAAGCGTACGATAAGTCGACCAACACTACTTACTTCAATACCGAATGCGTTTACAAACACCATAATGATGGGAATTAGAACATAGACAATCCCTACAGACAGACCTTGGTTCGTCTGGTCTATCCAAAAATTCATCAACGCAGAGCTGGTTGCAATGAGAGCAGAGAAGCTGACGGCGTATGTAAACCTTATTCTAGTTAGTATCATCAAACTTGATCTTCAGGCGACCCAAGACATGGAGTCGCTTACCAATATGCAACGCCGACAGCGATGCCAAGCTCATGGTCCACAAAGGTGCCTACATAGACAGACAACGCACCTGGCACAGGCCAGATGCATAAGAGCTCCGTGACACATTGCATGACAGCCCAAGCTAGGAGACCAACGAGGACAAAAGAGAACAGGACAGCGAGAGGGCCGCCAATTTCGAGGATCTGACCGCTTCTCCAATAGAGGCCTGTTCCTAATGTTCCATTAATGGTGATCATCTCGAAGAATGTCAGCAAACGACAATCAGATGCGAGATGAGTAATGGTGACACTTACGAACAGGTGTATCCCCTTCAACTTTCTCTTCACAGTGCGGTCCGGCTCTGGCTTCACTAGAACCTCAATCGGGGGTCGCTCGGTAAAGCCCTGGTTCCCATCGGAAGTTTCGGATGGCCCATACTCACTAGCTTTTTGATGGATAAGAACGTTGGAGGAACCTTCGGGAATTGCGCTCGGCGACATAGGTGACGCGACCGGCCCCATTTCCGTGGAACTGCGAGGTATCCAGTCCGGTATCCAGTCCGGGGTGGGGCGGGTGGCCCGGTTCGGGTCCGTCGTCATCGGCATCACAGCAAACGAGAGCTACAACTTCAATCGCAAAACGCCTGGCTTATGGCAACACGGTTAGAATGAAGAAAGAAGGCAAGCGAATTAAAGCCCAGAGTGGCCGAAATTCTCAGGTGTTTTGACAACCTTTCGCGATCTAGGAGGTAACCGTAAATTCGCAGCCTGTCGCTGCCCTCCTGCCGGACGCAGGGCAAACATCCATCAGCCAAACATGTCTTATGTATTTCTTTCTACTTCTAGGAGATTAAAGAGGGCTGGGGCATCAGCCACAGTTAGGCTTCCGCCCAGACATCATCTTGGAAGGACTGCGGCTGGGGCTGTGACCGCCTTATCTTGGGCGGTCTCGACCTCGGCCTGCTAAGAACTGACCTCATACATCTTTAATGAGCCCTCAACTCGTATTCTACAAGGGCACATTCCAGAGTGAGGCTGCCAACTGTGTGTCTTATCCATCGTCACCTGCCTTCTCACCTTCCTTATCGGGTTACCTCCGGCATGCTACATGATATGACGGCACATGTTTGCTCCCGCCGCATTCCCGAGCATACTCTCAGCCCCGATGTACCAGAAAAGCAGAATAATAACCAGAAATTGGAAGGCAAAACAGCCTGGACCTCTACTCGGCCCGGAGTAAGACGGGTCTGAAGTGTTCTGGGCAAACATCTTATTGCGGCCGAAGAGGCAGGATATATTTGCCTGCAGGTGCCAGGAGGTGTGTTCAGCTCGGAGTCGAACCACCTGTTATTCGCCAAAGTCTGGTGTCACACACTCCATCTATTGTCATAGGACTGGTGCGCGAACCGCGGAAGCAGTCCCAGACACAGTCAGAGTAGCAGCCTGGGCCTTCGGTGACGTGTCGTTTGTCAGCGGTTTGCCATCGAACAAAAGTGTGCTCTTCTCCTGCCACTGAATTGCTACCAACAGCGACTGACGACTTATTTGTATCGGTTGATTCTCTAGAATCGTGATTATCTCTGTGCACCATACTACCCAAATATCCAATAGCCAAGGCGCATTTCAACATGGGCCAGGTCGAGCAAAACGTTGCTAATCGATATCTCAAGAAGGCTAGCCTGCAGAGGCTTCTTGAAAGGCTCTTCCCAGGGCAGACTGAGTTCAATATTGAAGTATGCCTTGCCGCCAAGCCCCTCCCTTTCCCCCTCCTCTGGACCCCTGTCAGCTGAACCGTAGCCTGCAGATGAGGGATGACGTGTGGCACTTCAAGGCACCAAAGGAGGTCGACAGCGTAAGTCAAACGCGCCCATCGCTCAAAAGTATAAGATGAAACGGAATTTCACTGACTAGTGTCACCTGTAGGCTGAGATTGAGTAAAGAAATAGCCCGAGGTAGACTCGCGTGGTTCGACGATTGCTAATGAAAATTTTGCAACCAGTGCCATCCGCGATCAATGAGGTGATTGAATCCCGAGAGCCTCCGGTCGGCAGTGCCGATCTAGCGGTGGCAGGGCATGTAAGCGCTGGAACATAGGTTGGGCGTATTACCTTCGGGGTACATAGACAGCCTGCTGAGGTTGGGCAGTACATATGAGCACCTATGTGTGCAGAGGATCACAGGACTGTATTTTATGTTTATTTTCCGTCGTAGAATTATCAGTCACTGCCTAGCATTTCATCAATAATGACGTCTCTACAACAATGTTTTGTCAAAGAAGTCATCGAGCAGGTCAAACTGATTGAAGTCCTACCTTCTTCAGCTGAGAATGACAACTGCGACTTGGGTGTTCATGAGTTCTCGGACCTTGCAGGTCTGAGTTCCTACGTTGAAGATGGGAGAGAAAGGGACTTCACTTATCGCTTCATGTACGCGATCGAGCCTCACCATGTTTTTAACGTACTCACGTTGCTGCTAGATCAATATGCCAACGCAACTCATGGAGACCGCTGCAGATCACCAAGCCTATGATGGAGCTACTCATAGGCGGTCTTGAGCTAGGCGACTCCCTTTGGGAGTTGGCATCATGCTTTTACGTCCGCAACATGGATGTCGAAGAGGTGTTTTGCATGCCTTTCACGGAGCGCAGGACTGGGTCGGTCGTCGGTATGTCATACGCAGAGAGATGAAGAAGTCACACTCCTAACACATAGCTTTCCATCAGAGGCGGCATACACCATTCGATACCCCGAGTTCAAGCTGGAGAGCAACAAGTGGGTCATTAGACAGACCGGTGTCTACCATCGTACCAACTTCAAGACAAGCCAAAATCTCTGCGTATTGTTCAACCCGATGCCCGGTGCGAAAGCAAGTCAAAAAGCTCAAGAGTGGCTGTTTGATCATTCCAGAAATAGTGATTTCGAACCACTATGGCTGCACAGAGTTCTTCATGAGACCTATCTGCCGTCGTGGAGGTCATACATTGCTTACTTTGAGCGACAGTTCCTGCCTATGGTAAGAGCCTCACAAACCTCACAAAAGAACGAACTGGTCCTGAAAACGAAAGATGCTGACTTGAGCTAGGCGCTTACAACATTTGCGACGTTCATAGAGGAGCCATCTACTCAAACGTCTAGTCATCTCACGACACTGGCCAGACTTGAGAATCGTTTTCTCCAGATCCCAGCCATCCTTTCTTCGTCAGAAGATGTGCTTAAGGAGCTGTCTGAGCTGTGCAAGTTCGGGCAAAACGACAAGACCCAGGCTGCGGCAAGCCCATCGTCTGTAGACTTTGAGAACTTCCGACGCCAATGTGGTGCTTTCTCTCGAACGGCTTCCTACCTACATCAACGAGCCCAGACGACAGCCCAACTCCTCGCCAACACGTTGTCTTTCCGAGAACAATTAGACACAAGAAAGCAGAACGAGAACATGCTAAACCTCAATAAGTCGGTGGTCTTTATTACTACTCTGACCTTGCTATATCTACCGCCATCATTCATCGCTGTAAGCCTGACTCCCAACTCCGAGTACCAGAAAAATTTATTTTCTAACGTCTATAGACCTTCTTTGGTATGAACTTCTTCGACTTGGACGACGAGAACAACAGGATTGTTAGCACATCGATGATCTGGATATACGTCGTTGCTTCAGTAATACTTACTGCTGCTACATTCATCATCTACCACATGCTCCTGGAGGGAGGTCCATTTGGCAAGCGGAAGATGGTCTTGCCCAAAGCGGGAGAATGGAACCAGCTGAAGATATGGGTTCGGAAGAGAAGCACATTTGCCGAGAAGAACGCCCTTACTGTTTGATATTGAACTTTTCTAGGAAGAGCGAAATGTTGATGAGGGCTGCAGACCAGAGAGGATGATCTTGTGTATCGCATAACGGTTCCCCTCAACAAGCGCAGCCACCAGAACGTGACGACTGGCCTCCACGTCGACTAGTCTGACCGTGAACTCATCGTAGTCAGACAGCCCGGGGAGTTGCACCAGTTCTTTTACGCCGACAGGATCTTTGGCATTCGGCATACCGATCTCCATTAGGATGATTCTATGGCTCGCACGTTTCGTTCCGAAAGCGAGGAGCTTTTCGTCTTTCTTGTTGACCATGATTTTTAGAATGCGATATTTGTCAATGATCTTGTGCAGTTGACTTGGCCTGTCTCTATCCAGAGCATTGGGGAAATCAAGCCTGTAAAGATGTCTTTCTCGAGAAACGACTACACAAGAAGTTTCGCTGTGAAGTTCGGAGAGGGCCGTGAATAGAGGAGCTGTGTTGCTGTCGAGCCCCTATGATTGTATAATCAGCAACCTGCAGTACTAGGTAACAGAGCAACTTTACCGCGTTGATTGAGTACTCACTTGCGGTATTAGATCGACTCTATCAATACTCTTGGTCCTGAAAGAGAAGTGGACGATGGACACTTTGTGTATGTCGTGCTTTGTCAGCTCGGGGCGTACCACCATGTATCCATCGGTTTGATTGCGGAGTGACATGCTGATAATATCTTCAGCCGGCCAGCTCAGTTTCAACGGTGGTTGAAAGTTAAGAGGCGTGTTGGTTCTGTTTGAGTCCCAACCTGCTGTTTCGAGGTTGACTTTCCGTCTTGATACGAGTCAGTAACGAATGGCGTTCAGTGGAAGGAACGACTCACCCAGAATCTACTAGATCTGAGATCCGTGCTTGAAACAGAGATCCCGAAAGCCTCTCATTCATTCTCCATGTTCTGAAGCGTACAAATCATAACTTGATGATCTGCTGAAATAGCCAAGTTATTGACTTCCGGATGCGGCAGCGACACATGATAGCATGTGTTCAAATCTGCATTGACAGACTGTCCAGCTTCGAGGTCAAATATGTAACACTTGTAATAGGATGTTAGAGCCATTACCTTTCTTCAAAGACATAAATAGTGCATGTAGTGACTCACGTTAAATGTGCCCCCGGTAGTCGTGGCAATCAAGTATCTCTCAGTCAAAGCCACCGCTTTCCAAAAGAAAGCAGCCCCCCCAAGGGGGAAATCTCCCGCTGGACTCAAGATTTCCTCATTATCAGCTGGAGCAGAAAGAGATGTAAAGAGTACGAGTCGGTAATCACTCCAGTAAACCAGTATAGTTGCATTGGGCGAGATCTTGCAGCCTTTCATTGTGTCGTATGTAGCTGGATCCTGAGCGAGACGCCACTGCTGAATTGCACGATCTCTCGTAGGTCTCGCCTCTGGTGATTTGCTCCGAATTCTGAAAACGTGTTAGATGATTAGCATTGGGAAATGAAGAGTAATTCCAATGTTTTACCTCTGTATGATGGAGAGTTTCCTTGGCTTTTTGAGCTCACCAGGAACTGGGGAGCTCTCAAGATGACGGTATGCATCCATCGCTTCTTTCAGAGCATTTTCGACGTCTTTTGCCGTGCACCTCTTATCCTGGTCTAAATTGAGAGCTTTATGCTCAAGGAAGCTGAGGATTGTATGAACAATCTTTTTCTCTCCTGGGGTTCGCGTGCCGGCTTTGTTGGCGAGCTGGTGGTGCCAGTCTAGGACTGCATGGTGGAGAGCAAACTTTCCGAACGACTTCTCCCAAAAGAAACCATCGAATCCATCATCCGTCCCTTTGCGATCTTTCAGCCGATCACTCGTATACTGAATGACGCTCTCTGCACCGCCTTCAAGATAAGCAAAGAGAACACTTAGTACGCACCCAAGAGACCAGATGTCGCTCTTGGTGTTCATGACCTTTCCAGTGATCAAGGATTCTCGAGGTAAATAGGTCCCTTGCCCTCGCCTATTCTGTGTCCCAGATGGAGCGTCCTCGTGCACTTGTGGCCGCGGTCTGAACCACACGCTAAAGTCTCGCTCTTCCGGTTCAGTATGATTTCTCCGCCGAATTTTGACCCGCGACATGCCAAAGTCGCTCAGCTTCCAGATCTGTCGATGTTCTCGATCTTCGGCTGGAAACACAAGGATGTTGCTGGGTTTCAAGTCCATGTGGTAGCACACAACATCTTCGAGATCCGAGGTCTGTAACTCGTGGTGGAGAAAGTTGAGACCTGTAGCAAGCCCCATGGCGGAGCGAATAAGACTCGCCCTTACCTTTGGTGTCTTGATCGAAGTTGATATGTCCTTTTTCATATAGGCGCCAAGGTCGCATATTGCTAGCGGCATGAAAAGACTGTACGTCGGCGGATGATCGGCTCCCAGGGGCGATTCGACACGCAGGGAGCCAAGATTCTCAAGGATATTCTCGCATGTCTTTGAGGCGCTAAGTATCATCTTCATGACGTTGCCCTCATCTTGAGAGCTCATGTCACTAGGTGACTGGACAATGTAGTCCTTACGCGCCACCTTTCGTGGTTTGTTCGAAATTTCATCGGTGTGGCGATCCTCAATATGGCCTCGAGCGATCTTAACCATGTAGACTTTCCCAAACGACCCTTTACCTAGTAGCTTTTCCTCCAGGTAGGGAAGTCGCTGAGTCTCGGAGTCTTGAACGGTGACTTCTTCCCTTTGACGGAGCACAACGGTGCAAAAGATTGCTTGTGTGCCAAAGAAGAAATCTGCATCGTTTGAATCGCACCCCATGAAAAATTCTCGTAGACTGTCGCGATCCGCTGGGAGAGAAGTAGCATCCCTGATATGTGATTGCTCGGCAGGCCAGATGTCTGTAGCAGCAAGCTTGGTCGTGAAAACTCTCGCAGCATCAATACTGCAACCTGCAAATGCGATAATAGCGATGAAGTTATGTAGGTGTCTTTTTTGAATATTCCGAGTAAAGTCATCTTCTGAAATTGAGAACTGGTCATCGTTGATGCTTTGGAAGAAGATTCGGAGGTAGTAGGACTCCAGCACTATGGCTGATGTATCCCGAGTGGCGAATCGAAGCTTGTCCGAGTCCTTCTTCTCTAGATTGTCCAGGAGGCGGCGGCGAATGTCGCGGCATAAGTCAGTGTACTCCTGGGAACCCATCGTTCGCGCGGGGATACCCAAGCCGTCGGAACGGCTTCCACATGGCCCCAGGCGGTGATCGTACGAAGAGAGAATGGCGTGCTAGATTGGAGTGAGATGCGAATGGTTCGCAGAAGTAAGCGTGAATGGGGTTCCTGAGACAGAGATGGACTGTTGGGGCGCAGTGGTTCGGCCCAATAGCAGCAGGGGTAAATCGTGATTGATTGGGTACGGGCCAGCGCCCGCAGGCCTCACTTTGGAGACACCTGCAGGCCGTTGATAGTCGCAGAGCAAGGCAGACATGGCTGCGCCTCTGAGAGCCTTCCCAACCATCTGCCTGTTGTCGCATCGCGATCGGCTGTTTGCTAAGACTGGAGCATGATGCATCTAGGCCCTTCGAACCCTTGGCGGAGTGATATTGGAATATTGAGTCTGGGAACCCCCCGGCCTCCAAGAGAGATTACTGTGTCAGCAGGCCTAGCCCGCTGACACCTCCCAGGCCTTCGACGGCATTTTGCACATTCCATGCAGTGGAGCACTCCACCGAGACGTCACCGGCTCCGTGCCCGTGTCCGACAAAGTGGGACCATGGCAGAATCGGCGTCGGAGCGGCGCCGGTGTGCTTGTGGCTTGTTTTGTGCTCCAGATTAAAACAAGATCTGTTCGAAGTACCAAAAAGCAGAAGAAGACAATGCAATAATCAAACGTCCGATCTGTCTGTAGATGCTAAAGCAAGGGACTCCATCTAGCCGTCGGCGATCTGTACTGCATAATATTCGCTGGTCATGGGTTAACAATTGAATTGAAGGCTGCGTGCGTGAGCTCGTGCGATAGTAATTGAACTTAATGATGCTCACCGCGAGTTTTGGGGTTAATTGAGACAGGGGGCGGAAGACCGGCACCTCTCCCATCCATTTGTCGAACAAGCCAAGCTTTGGAAGATAGACTCTCGGATAAGCAATTCCTGCAATCCTGCAATCGGTGGTTTGGTTTCTGTCCTACGTGCGGTTTGTTTCCGAGTCAAGGATGGGGTTACTTTCCCCTTTTGTTCTGCGATTTCAAGGGGATCGGTGCATGGTCTACATGAGTCACTTTCGCTTGATTGCCCAGTCATCGGCGATATGAGAGATAAGGCGCACCCATCGTTTGACATCGGACACTACGCGGAATCCTTTTCTGTGTTGTCATACAGCAAAGGTTAATTACTCCTTCTTTCAATTGACGTTTATAACCGTGTTATGACGCCCCAAACAACGCCGACAATGCCATTGAGCCCAGAGATCCAATGGTCAAGCTCCTCTGAGCAGCCGGTGGGATATCCTCGGCACGAGACTGCCAATCCCGAGAAGAAGAGCGCGCTGAACGACCTACGAGACGATGAATCATTGCAATATCCCCCAGAGATATTGACATTTCCTGATGGAGGCGCAAGAGCTTGGTTGCAAGTCGTCGCTTGCAACATAACAAACCAAATTTCGTGGGGTTACCCCTCTTCATACGGCGCCTATCAAGCCTACTATACGACAACGCTGGGCCTACCCTCAGCCCAAGTCTCGTGGGTAGGCTCGGTTCAAATATTTCTGGCCTTCGGGATCTGCGCTTTTTCGGGACGATTGGTCGATGCTGGTTACGGAAGACATGCTGTCATCGGGGGCTCCTTCATGGCCGTGACGGGCACGCTTTTGACCAGCTTCTGCACCAAGTACTGGCAGATCTTCCTAGCACAAGGGCTGTACACCGGTATCGGCATGGGCATCATGTTCATGCCAGGAATTGCCATTGTCGGGTCGTACTTCAAGCAGCGAAGAACTCTAGCATTGTCAATTGCGAACGTGGGCACTGGGCTTGGATCGGTCACTTTTCCGACGCTTCTCAACTACACCATCCCTCACGTCGGATTCCCGTGGGCGGTCCGATGCCAAGCGCTCATGATGCTTGTCCTCGCCGTCATCGCCTGCACACTTCTCAAACCTCGCCTCCCACCGAGAAAGTCAGGGCCAATCCTGGAATTGGAGGCGTTCAAGGAAAGAACTTATTCCTTCTTTGCTGCGGGTTCTTTCTTCTTCTTCCTTGCACTTTACTTCAGCTTCTTCTACGTAAGTAAACCATGTCCACAGCTGTCGATGGCTTGGAGATTAAGAGCAGGGAAATTGACAACCACCAGATCAACACATTTGCTCAGGTCGCTATTGGACTTTCATATACGGACTCAGTGGCACTTCTTCTCATTCTCAATGCTTCTGGAATTCCCAGTCGTGCTCTGGCTGGCATCCTAGCAGGATACGTGGGCGCGATCAACACATTCATATTCAGCAACGGTCTCGTGGGTGTGATGTACTTTGCGTGGATCGGAGTTCGCAGCAGACCTGGTCTGTATGCGTTATCCGTTGTCTTCGGAATCGCGAATGGCTTCGCACAAGGAATCTTCACCCCAGCGCTGGCGAGCTTGACGGAAGACCCTCAGAAAATGGGAGTTCGCTTCGGCATGGTTGCGACAATTGTCGGCGTGGCATCCTTTGCAGGCCCGCCTATCGCCGGCGCTATTGTTGACGGAACTGGAAAGTACATTTGGGCGCAGGTTTGGGCTGGAGTGGTCACGTTTTTGGCATGTCTCTTCCTGGCTGCTGCTAGGATAGCTGCTGTTGGATCCGCATGGACGGCGAAGGTGTGAAAGCAGTGCGGGACAAAACATGGAGATTGCCATACAAACATGATTCTATGAAAGAGAGTTCAAACTCAATCTGTACTAGTCCTTGAAAGACCACTAGAAACGTTCGAGGGTTGCTTCTAACCTTAGTTATTAGCCCAAGCCTTCGCAAGAAGCTCTTCGACTGTCGTCAGGCGCAGCTCAGGAAACATGTCATTCAGGCGGCCCTCCTTAGGCAACGCACAAACACCGCTGACAACCATGAGACTGAATGCAACTGTCATCTGCTTCAAAAGCGCCACTGGGATGCCGCTCGACTCATCGGGAATCGACACCAAAGTTGCATCCCCGTTCTTGAGCTTCTCGACATCGTCGTAGACCACCTCGAACTTGGCATCTGCGATTGTGTCAGTCTGGCGATCTCAATGCTCGCGCTATTTTACCGGCCCATTACTAACTGTGATACTTCTCGAGAAGAGCTATGATTTCATTGAAAGTGGCGTCTGAGCCGCTGATGGAGGCAGTCTTGGGCCAATTGTCTTGGTCAAGAAGACGAACGATGAAGCGAGCGAGATCGATGGTGTACGTCATGCTCATGACATCGTTTCCGGTTCCCGGAACAACTGCCTTTCTGAGAGACATGTCGATGCCAGGGCTGAATGGCATCATGTAGGAGTGAACATTGGGCATGGCCCAGTAATCCATGAACAATCCTGCATAGATGCGAATGTACTCCAGGCCTGACTTCTCGATGGCCATCGCATTTGCCAGACGGTACTGCTCGCCAAAAGACTCATGGAGGTTGCTGTTTCAATTAGTTCCGTGTATCTCTGAAAGATGTCTTGAGTGGCTGTACTTCTTGTCAACAGGCGTGAAATACTCGCTGGGAACAAAGCGTTGAGTCGTCTTCGACTTATCAGCAGCCGCGATAAGGTTGATCTGAGCGTTGCTAGATTTCTCAGACTCCGGGTTCAAGGCGGAAATAACGGTGTCGATGTTGTGTTCTTCAAGGACTTTGACGAGAGCGTTGACATTTTCGTAGTCTACCTCGAGAAAGGAAGGAGCACCCGGGAGGGCGGGGGATGGAGACTTGAAAGACATTATATCAGCTTGTATCCAGTGAATGGAACGAATGAAAAGGCCGGTGTAATAGCCCCTAGGAGTAGTTTCAATCATCACAATAGGTGTAGTTACCTTGCGCCCCATTACGAAGAACTCATGTTTTCCGCTGAGCTGCAACTGCTCCACGATGGCTCTGCCAACTCCGCCCGTGCCTCCAGCGACAGCAACGATAACCATTTTGAAATGAAGTTTGGATAGACCGAAAACACGAAAGTGGTGGTTGCAGGACGGTTGCAGTTATTGTGAGTTATCGGGTTCGCATTCCAGTGGTTTCTCGTCGAGTCGTGGGAAATTCATCTTTGTTTATGTACCTTTCTGCGCTTGCTGACAGCGGCTTTGAACCAACATGTAAATATGGACAGAACATTCACCTCAACAGTTTCGCGGAGCGGAGCGGAGCCTTAAGCCTCTCCGCACTTCATTCATCGGCGGTGGGAACGCGCGGGATCCGCACCCGAAGGCCCGTGACAGGCTCCCGAGGCTTTCGACCGCCGGCCGGTCTCCGCACCGGGGTGATTGAGAACCCCGATGAATCAAATATGACAACATAAGTTGCAGAGACCAACAGTCTGAATCAGGCTGCTGCGAATGTGGGCCGAGAACTCAATAACTAGGTGGAACTCATCCTTGCCCGGGTCTAAGTCAACTGTCAGCTTGCGGGGCCCGAATCGGCACCTTCCGTTTAACTCCGGAAGCTTCGATGACACTGGGTCTATTCCCATGTGTCCAGGTGGATGAGATGACAGCACGAGGACAGTTTTACAGCACGGATGCGCAATGCCAAGAGCACCATGCAGACAGCGTATTTAGTAAAGATGATGTTGGTTGCATACTTGCAGCCACTACATAATGGATGCTCAAACCGAGCAAAGTAAGAGGAAAGCGAGTCAGGAAACGTATGAAAACTGAAGTACCAAATTCGTATCTATTTTGTGTGCCAACCATCTATGTGCAAACGCCTTGCTATGCTACTTCCCCCGAGACCCATCACCCCATCGCTGCCACATGCTATGAACCAACCCAGACACTAGGAAAGGAAATCAAAGAACGCCAGGATATGCAATGTTTAAATCCCGTCGTAGGACTTAAGAAGTGTACCCGGCAGCGGCGTCAGCAGCAGTAGCCTCAGCAAGCTTGGCAGTGCCGACGGAGACGGTGGGGATCCAACCTTGGGGGTTGACATCGGTACCGGTGGTGGCAATCTCCTCGCCAGTGGCGTTGACGCCGATGGTGATGTAGCCGACCAGGCCATCCTCGATGCTGTCGCCGAGAAGAGAGACGCTGATGAAGGGGTTGTAGCCGTCCTCGCTGGCGCTGGACAGGACAGAGTCCTCGTCGTTGGTGGTGCGGTTCAGGGTCTCAAGGTGAGAAGAGTAGGGGCTGACGGCGTAGACTTGGGAGAGCAGGTCCTCCTCGAAGAAGAGCTGGCCGACGTGCTGAATGGCGCTCTGACTGTAGGAGATGCCGCTGGATGCGTTGGCCTGGACGGCGACGTGGATGTGGGTGGAGCGGGAGACGTAGTAGCCGGGGAACTTGGTCAGGAACTCAATCATACCGTTGGAGTCGGAGACCTGGACGCCGCGAAGGAAGGTCTCGTCGTCGGTGGTGCCGTCGGAGCGCTTCTCCCAGCCGTCGAGGAGCTCAGAGGTGTCGGGGTCGATGCCGGTGAAGGAGGCATAGGATCCGGTGGCGTTGCAGTGCCAGATGGAGGCGGAGGCACCCTCCAAAGGCTCACAGGTGTTGATGTCCATGACGCCAATGTCGAAGTAGAAGTCGATGCCAGGCTGGGACTCGCGGAGGTCGTGGCGGTTCATCTCGCCGTCGACGCCGTAGGGACCGAAGATGGTCTCAGGGGCCAAGAGGCATGTGTTGTTCTGGATGGAGGTGTACTGGAGAGTGTTACGCTTGGACATGCCGTGGCTGCTGGGGACGATGTCGCCGTTGGCGACGCGGCGCTCGTAGAGGCGTTGGGAGCGCTTGGCGATGATTTCGGCCTTGCGCTTCTCAATGGCGGCGGCGCACTTGTTGGTAGAGCGACCAGCCAGGGCAGCCTCGCGTCTAATGTTCTCCTTGGTCAACTTCTCGGGATGAGCGAAGACCTCGGTGGCTGCCAGGGAGAGGGCAGTAAGAGCGAAGGTAGTGAACTTCATTGTTGCGGTTGAATAGAAAAGAAAAACCTGAGATGAAGTTGTTGAGATGGTTACTGGAGGAAGTGGTAAAAGTGAAAGTGGCTGAGAAGTGATTGGTAGAGGTAGAGGTAGTGAGTGAGTGAGTTGTGAATATGAATGTGATGAGGATGATGAATTGAATGATTACTTGTCGCGGAGAAGCTTCCTTTACTTATACAAAATCCCGTCATCTTGAAGTCGTCATGGTCTACGAGCCTCGTTGCTAGCCTCTACAGTCCAGCCTCTCTGCCTTACGCCTCCTATCGCATGACGCCTAATTACGACCGTCCCCTGTACCGTCGGTGTTGTCCCGATAGAGTGCTGTGGGTATTGCTGCGGACGGTTAACTGGGGTGACGATTCGTAATTGACTGACGTCCCATTGGCCGACCAGCTGTATTCTCGACCTGTAGAGGCTCTCCATGTGGCCCAGAATAGAGTGTGGTAGTAGCTTAGCATGAAATTCTACGGGCAGAATGGTAAGGGGCCGGTATAAGCCATCCGGGAGGTGGGAGGCCAAGCCGTCGGGAGGTGGGATTCGGACCCGCTCCGCGGGACTCAGCCCACCGGGGACCGGGCCCATTCCCTACCGGAGCCGAAAATTTGGACCTCGGCGACCACGAAAAGCCTCCATCGCCATCATCTCACTGACGCGTTTCCCGGTCTTACGTGACCTCGAGGCGGAATTGGCGATCCTCCTTACTCTATCCAAAATAGACGCGCTCCTCATGCACCAAGCTTTTATATGAAAGGGGGGCCTTATGGGACGAACTTTTGACAGCCAACAATTGTAAACGTCTGATTTTTTGTTCCTTTGCGTCTGATGGCGTATGCTGTAAGGATCTGTCTGAAGCCCAGGAATTTGGTCAGTCCAATGGGTTCTCTGGGGTCATCGATGTGAATGGCACCTTGGCGTAACGGCATTTCCGTCTGTGCTACCATAGGGCTGGTAGACAGACCCAAGAGCCCCTTCGACAATGATACGTTGATTTTCTTGATGTTGGAGTATTCCTCGTAGGGAGTCGCGCAGGTTGTATCGTTACCTTCTTGAGTCCAATTAGGCAAGTTTCCAGGAAGGGATGCGAATGCTTGGCATCATGGCATAACAGCCACATGGTCGCACAATTCTTTTCAGTCGGCCTGCTTATTGCAATTCCTCTGATGTACCCTCTATCGACCGCTTCGGGGTATTCTAGCCAACTCCAGGTTTTGGTGGTGCGTGTTGAACGACGCGTCGTCATAACATCCGGTGGGATGGATAGGCTGAGTAGCGTACGTAACTGTTATTAGCACCAACGACCACACGTTCCCCAATTTTGCCCTACGACGGAAGAAAAAAGCGCGGAGAGTGGCGGAGTAAGTGATAACGCCCAATTGCATTTCACTACATCAACTTGACAGGATAACTGTAGAGAACGGAAGCACCGTGATTGGCGGGTAGGTTCCTCCCACACCGGGTTCACCCTTGTGAGCAATCAAACCGAGGAACACCGCTGTATGTCTCCATCTCTGGGACGGAAGACTCCGATGGCACATATAGGACGAGGATAATACGAAAGCCCAACGCCAAGTTTAAACGGAGTCTAGAACCCGGAAGCAGACTGACTGCGCTCAGAATGGAGTGAAACCTGAGGTTAAAGGAGTGCCAATCTGCACACCAAAGCCTTTACAAAACCCAAGAGGCCCCCCTCATGTCACGATCAATCACACGAACACCAATAACTTTCTTTGAAGA